CGACCTGATTTCCATGGTCGTTTATAACGAAATCCGAATGGCCGCAATTTAAACACTCTACTTTCACAAAACCTCTCATATGATTCAATAAAGAGAAATACATTAAAGAGTTTCGCTGAAAGCGTGCGTATTCGAAACGAGTGAAAAATTTATTCAGCACTTTCGATCGGTTGTACCGTCAGTCCAAACGGGATGAAAGGTTTAATGAAAGTACAATGGTAGAAAATGGGCAATTTTGAAACTGTATGGAGACGAGAAATTCTTTCAACATCAATCTACGTCAAGCGTTAATATATTATAATTATACAATCAATTATTTCGATTTAATAGGAGAAGAGAAATTATTTTAATTTTAATAGAATTTTAGAAGTATTATAGTAATTCTGTAAATTTTCCAAATGCAATTTCCACCTTATTTTTATAAGGAATAATTATTGAATTGTTATTCTCTCACGGCGAAGGAATCAATCATTACTTCCTAGTTAGTTTTTATTATTTGCTTTTATCGCTTCATCAAATATTATAGCACGAAATGCGCAATAGCTGATGTACTCATTAGCGATTGCAGTATAAATAATCAGCAGCAGGCGTGGCACGTAGTACTACGTGTACTTGTAACTAATATTGCCAAGCAGAACGGAATTGTGTATGTAAATCTTTCCTCGAATTACCGTATACCGCGTCTCGAACGTATCCGCGCATGTTCCACGCTTCGAAACGCGGAACAGCTCGACGTTCTAATGAATCGTGTGTCGCAAACGCTTCATCGAGGTTGTCAAAGGGAAACTCTCGAGCCTGGAAATACTCAGCGGGAATATTTAAAAGCTGTATGCGCCACTTTGTGCGACGAAAACGCGATTCAAGAGGACCAGGAGCACCGCTTTTCAGCTACTTTATACACGGACGTTCCTCGAGCACGTACGTTTCCGTTCACAAAACGTCAAACGAATGCGTCCGACGATTCTGGGACGATAGAAGGACGGACAGAGTGTGTTTCACGTTACAACGAATAAAGGCGAGAAATTGCTGGTCAGGAGATAAAAATTCGACGGATGTAGATGAAATTGCAAAATAAATAAACTGAAAATGAGAAAGGAAGCAGAAAAATAATTTCTATTGTTCAAAAGTAAAAAGATCTTTAGAATTGAAAAGAAAAGATAAGAAACAGTAGATTAAATTAAAGATTGAATCAAGGAAAGAAAAGATTTTTTGTAAAAAAATGTCTGAGTTTCTGAAGTTTATTAAGATTTCAGTCACTTGATTAGAGAGAAGTTTCATATATTTCATCCCCTGGATCTAAACTTAGTATAAAGTTTGCATGATTTAAAAAGTTGCACTGGCAGCTAAATATGAATCCTTATTTTATGAAATTTTCGTGTATTTTCAAGAATATCCTTTGCGTCGGTAACCTAACATAAATCCAGGAATACTAAACAAATCCTGTTTGCATATTTCCTGGCACGAACATCAACTATTTCATACGTCGAATATTCAAATTCCTAAATCCTGTGGAATCGAATACCAGCTGATGCATTCCAGCCATGCACAAAAATACCCTTTCGTTATCTTCGAAGAAATTAGATACAGGATTTATCGGATATCGGGAACGTTATTCCAATCTTCGATGGATCCATTTTACGTACCCCCTGTAAATTCCCGATCGGCGGAAAACTCAACATATTCGAAGTAGCGGCAGGCGAATAAAATGCAGCCGGAAGGAATACGATAGAACACCGCTGACATTGTCAGTTTCCCAGGGAATATGCAAGTATGCGGTGCATCCTTAATGGAATGCATCCGACGCAATATGTCGTTAGAGACATATTTTCCAGCGAAGAAAGAAATCATCAGAAAAAAAAAAAACAAGATAGATGACTTTAATATCTTAATACCATCGAGACTGTGTTATCGACACGCTGGATGATCGCTAGAATCCATATCCGGAAGTACCCTAAGGAGGTACGGAAATGCGATCCATGTAAATATGCATATTAGATCAAACCCCACCGATGACCCCGACCCCAAGCAACTCGTTTATCAACTACGTTGATAAATTGACAAAGGAATATCTGAAGAAATAGTTAAAAGTTTGGAAATTATCCTTTTCATTCCTTCGATGAAGATCGATTGAAAATCTTATCTAACTTGAAAAGAAGATCTACAAAAGTGGTGTCGTTGCAGAACCATGATCCAACGACTGCATCATATTTCTACCATGAATTTATTGCTCTCGCAAGTTCGCTTTATGAGTAATAAATTTCACGGTTCAAGTATCATTCTTTCCTAAAGGTACTCGAAGAGAAGAGGAAGAAATACGAGGATGCTCGTAGAACGTTAATGGGATTGAAACTTTGTATCCTTCAGCATGCGTGATGCACTAATTGTAAGATGCCTGGATTATACAAGTATCCAGGAGTAATTATGCATTCCTGTATCACAGATTTATGAGATTTACGAGTTACCATACTTCACGTATCCTCCCCTGGTATGCACTGAAAACATGGTTCCTTGGTGGCTGGAACGTCGAGTTGTGTCGTTGTCAACCCAGTTTATGAAGAAGGATTCGCAGCGAGAATTACATATAATTGAAGAATGGTCATCAAAGAAACTTGCCTTTTCACTGTGATTTTGATAACTTAGCAAATTTTCGAATTTCCATCTAACGATGTATTCTAACACTCTGTCAAAATAATAAATAGAAAAGTTTGCAGCTTAATTCTCTCATTTTCCATTTACCTTTATTTTTATGGAAAACTAATGAGTAGTAATAATACATGACCTCCGTTAGCACGAGTCAAGGTAAATTTAAACACGTTAACGGGCTTAATAACGTCGAGTTGGAGTCCATTTAACCTTTTTACCCTCCATGTTAAGCTAAAACATGTTTAAATTTGCGTAAGCATTAACCTCGAATAGATAAACTCAACAACTGAAATTCAAGGTAATCTAAGAGGAAATGAAACGTGTTGATGAAATAATAAAAAAAAAATCTTTCTCTTATGAATATTGTAATGCGATACAATAAATACACGTCCTATATATTAATCTATACTAATTAAAACTCACGCTAAAATGGTGGCTGGTAGATCGTAATCTATATTTATGGCGTCTGCATTTCTACCTTTGGATTCTTAACGAGCACATTTCTCATGATTAAACGCGCATAGAAACAAAATGGCACTTTCTCGCAGAGAAGAGAAATTACAATTATTCTTGTGTAAAAAAAATGTTTAACGTATCCTCGGATGCGGAATCGATCTATCGTTCGATTGTATCGCCGATACTGACCCACTCTCGCCACTGAATTTATAGCACGGTCAAATTTACGATCGGTTCGATTTTAAGCAGCTTTCCGTGCCCGCTGCACCACTTTACACGATACTCCGGCTCGAATCTTCTGCAAAGTGGTCGCAAAGTGAAGTGGAAGTATCCATGAACAGCGATACAATGGCCGACAAATTCCTCCAATCGAAAGTATTCGAGGAAACTTACAAAAATGGTCAGGAAAGAACTTTCTTGACGGTTGAACATTATTCGGAGGGTCTCGATTTGAAAGAAGAAAATATGATTAAAGATCTACAAAATAAAACAGAGAAATGTTTTGACGTTTACCACTTCTTCATGAAATTCTTTTCCTTCGTCGTATTTTGAAATATTATTTAAAGAAAGGGTTTGTTTATTCGGGAACTGTGTCAACGAGAGACAATAACGTCTATCAAATATCTTTATACTTGCAGAAATTCTACGGAACGTTTCTGAAAATGAAAAACAGAGACGTGACGTCTCTGTGACAGTAGGGTATTACAAACGATCCGATACCTACTGACATTCTAACAATTGGTAGACTGAAAAATTGATGGATCTTCGTACATTTATCATTGGAAGTTTTGCCTTCGTCATGTTGAAAAGACTGATGATCAATAGAATATATTTCCCCGTGTTTCAAATGTACAGAATTTTGTCGGTGTAGATACGAGTTCGATATCTACTCTGTTTGATTCACAAATACAATAGTTGCAAAAATCAACAGACGTCGGTAAACTATTCATCGTGAAAGATAAATATCACTTTATTAAAAATCTGCCTTCAATTAATTCATCCATAGTCGAATTTATCTTGTGAAAAATGAAAAACTTGTAACCACGCGTGACAACGCGTGTCGTAAAATAAAATATCCAAGATAAATCAAAGCTTTCGTCGATTTCACGTATCAAGAGAAATTTTATTGCAACGAGTTTACAGCTTTTCGCGAACGAGAAACGCGGCTGACTTCGAAAAATATCTTCGCCCTAGATCGGTGAAGAGAATTCCTCAGCCTGAAATACCGAACAGTAAAGTATCCGCCGAAAATATTTTCGCTTCGCGAAGTTCGCCGAGCACCTCGGCCCTTTTTCAACAGTCGCTACCGCGGCCAAGGTTTATTCATCGCGAATATCTTCGAGGAATTTCTATTCATCCCGTTGTGCAAACAGTACACATCAAACGTTTCTGTTTCCAAAGGCTATCGCAAATCAAAAAGTTGAACTCAGCCAACTTCTCTTCCCGATGCAATTCGGCACCGCAAAAGATTACCACTTCTTTTTCCTACTACCCTTCTAATTATCCCTTCATTTTAACCCTTTCTAAAGAAACCTTTGAAGTTTTAGTCGAGCTCAGTACGTTCTTTGAAATTTTTCCTCAGATGTTTGTTTGAATAATACTAAACGTACCGGTTGAAATCAAACAGAGAAAATTAAAGCCTTATTTTATTTGATTGTGCAAATTAACCTAACACGTCATATCATTAATAACCAAATGGTCTCGTGCGTCGAATAATAGAAATTACCATTAACCAAATTAATTGCCCGAGAAAGCCATTCCCTATACTATTTACTGTACGGTATAATTGTTTCATTTAATGTTGAAGTAAAATTAAAAAAAGTTGTAACTACAATGAACATAAACCTAATTTTCTTTTTTTTATTTTTAAGCCAGAATTGCCGTTGCAATTTTCCCTGCAACTTTTCTCATAAACTGCAACTGCAACTGCACCGATATTGCAGCAAACGAGTAGTTATGACGAAGTAAATACTGAAAGGGTTAACGCGCTTTTGTAGCTACTTCGAACGAAAGGAGGAAGGTGTTAACGGAGACCTGTGTTGAATTCTCTTCAAGTTATGATCGTTTCAGTGAAAGTTACCTCGCAAAGATCAATTGAAAGTTCAAGTTAGCGAGCTTCTGCAACGCTTCAGGGTCCGAATGCAGCGAAGCGAAACTCAGCGAGTTATTTATTAGCCCGTTCCAGATTCTGCTTACGTGATTTATAGACGGTTAAATTATATTTTTCGAGATTTAGAGCCGCGAAGCTGATATTTAAAAAGTTGCTTTCAATAGAAAATTATTTTATTTAAATTTGGATGACAAGGAAACGATAAAGAGATATAATTAACAATCATCGTATGATTCGGTAATAATAACGTTTCTCTGCGCTCTAATTGAACAACGATACGATCAATATACGGGAAATATTGTCCTTCTATAATTAACCGGCACTAGATGGCTGCAATCGGTCGAGAGATATTTACGGATCGTAATTGCAGAAAGTGGCGATTGTCGTAAACAATTTTCACGCCATGTTACTCGTAGCTGTGTTTTGACGCGATAATTGCTGCCGTCATATCAACGATATTTGTGGGAGGGGGTCGAAATAGAACGGAGTAAACTGATATTCAGTGAAATACCGAGAACGAATAATATTCCAAAATATGTATTTCCGTAATTAGAAGGTTGTTAAATATCTACGCTTATTATCGTTAATCTCCCGAAATATACCGTTTTCTCTTTATAAATAAGCATACTATTTCGTTGGAATATTTACTTTGTAGTGCATGAAATTTTATGTACATACTGATTCATGGTTGTACTTAATCACGACACTCACCCATCGCTGATATTCTGCAGTAGCTTGTAGAGCATCTGTATTCAGGTTCACCGCTTCCCTTCGCGTTGCCGGATCTTCTAGATGGGATCTGTTAAAGGAGAAGTGTTCTCGGTTCCGCTTCTTTGGTAACCTGTAATCGAGGAGTCAACTTGTACAACGTTTGCCAACCGCAAACAAGATGTGAAATATTATTCGAGCGGAAATGCAATTCCGCTGTGAAACGTGCAAGAAACGTTGAATTAACCGAAAGTTGTTTTCGATTAAAATTGACCGAAAACAGGAAATAAATGAGCCGAGAAAAATCTCTGCCAATAATATTAACACGTTAATTGGCACAGTAAAAAATAGATACAATAATTTTCTTCTGAAAATACTGACGGTATCAGGAAAAATAATTATTCCGTTGCAAGATCGATACGGCGAGGCATCAGAAAAATCTCCCTTTGTTTTATCAGCGTAGATTATTATTTTAATTATCCTAAGCGAACCGGTTACTCCCGCGAGCATAAGAATCGCGGAATTATTAACGAGAAAGCATACTAATTCAAGGTAGAATTCAAGGTATGCTCTTCGTATAGTTACGAAGTGAACGTACTGCGTTCCTCTATCTCGCGGTGCGATTTCGGCAAGCAATCTCAGCTCGTAAATCCTCTCACGGTACGCCGAAGATAAAACACGCCAAGACCTTGCTTTCGACGATGATAAATTTTTATCTTCGACCGAACTCGTCAGCATCCTCGTTAAACGCCATCGATTACGTGTAACTCGTTCACTTCTTGCGAACGAAAATTTAATCGAATCACCTTGCAATTTCATTTAACGTAATGTATTCCATCGTGCACATTATCGTAATCATAATCTATCGCGTGAACCTGCTGTTGAGTTTACACGATGTATCGTATAATTTGTTACTAGACGTAAAAAAAGGAACTTCAGATTACAAAGATCATAAATTTACAGCTAACAAAGGGTGGCACCTTAAAAAATTGGATTTTTTTGCTTCAAAAAGTAGGTGTGATATTTTTATTTTTAATATCCGATGTTAAAAGCATTGGACAGAAGGGAAGAGTCAGATAATGGGTTTTGTTTTCTGAAGAAATGGTTCCTTTTAAGGAAAATTTTGTTAAAAGCTGACGAAATTACTTCTTTCTTCTAAGTATGTACGACAACAATGGATATTTTCACTTCGTAAGATGATTACAAGCTCCCTAAGTGGTTCCAGACGTTTTAAGAAGAAAAAAGCGAAAGTTCAAACAAACTCATAATACTATCCTTTCCCTGTAGGAAATATCGTCTATTTTATCACTGTATTCTCACTGTCACGCGAATTGTGGTTTCTGACACTTTCAACTATGACTCTAGCTTAAAATAGATCCTTCCTATTAAAACTGAACAATAGTATCAAGCTACATGCTCTCTGTTTTCACAGAGAAGTGCATTTATTAAGTCCTTAACTAGAAGACTAAAATAATCTTTATAAATACCATGCTGCAGGAAGATTGTATGCTTTGTTGAAACTGAGATAACAATCCCCCCATTGTTAAAAAAATGTGACTCTGTTTAATTAGTAGAAATATTTTCCTACAGACTGCAGTATGGAATTATATACATGTTTCTAAAGAAGAACAATTTTTAATCTAAAATTTTCATTAAATAACAAAAATTTATACTTTGTATTAATTTATATCAGCTTAAAGCTCAAAGTTTACTTTAGCTAAAATATCTTTCTTGATTGATATAAATGGAACACCTTGTATACGATAAGATACCCAGGAGGGTATCGAGACAGTATTATTTATCATGATGTTTCATACCTGCCCACGATTTTTAACCGAAGTTTGCCGTCGCGTTGACAGACCTACTTTTCAAAAATATTTTATAACATTTTTCATGCAATATTCCTGATCTCTTGAGAGAAACTTTCCTTCTTTTAGAATCAGATTGATGTCTCTCCTCGAAATATATATTACTTCCCATCTGAGATCATCTTTTAGGTCTCTACACCTCGCATTTATTAAAATACAATCTAATTTGACTAATGAAGATTTAATGATACTTTTTTTTATTAAAAAAACATATTTGCATTCGTTCATCGATCTCTGAAACTTTCCTGTTCTATAAATTACCTACTTTTACGGGCACCCGGTTAACTTTACGTAATTTATGAGGCGCCGGCTTAAGTAATTACAGTGTAATTGTAACTTCGACGAATAACTTACTGCTCTTCGTTCATTTATCTGTTTTTCCTTTGAAAATTATTCCAAGAGAAATCTTATATCTCTCCAAGAATACCACGTTTCTTGTAATTACACCACTTACAATTACAGAAATCTGAATCAAGAAGAAGCTACTTGCAACAAAATAAATTATTAAATTTGTTGCGTTAATAAAACAGTTTCATAATAGTAATAATACAAAAAAATATAAATCTCGTTTAAAATAAAAATACAAATAAAAATACAAATCTCGTTTAAAATTTGCAAACAGCAAAATAGACGAGTCAAAGTTGCTTCGAAGATCAGAAGATTCTTCGACAACAACTTTGAACATCCAAAGAAAGTTTCCTGAAGGAAGTTGAATTTTTAACGATCAATATTTACAACAGATGGTCGATCGCATTGAAATCTTCGCGAAAGGACATGCAATTTTCCATCCCGAAGGATAATTGAAACGCGAGCTTCATTTCTTTCAATTGCCAAGGAGAATTCTTTCCCGTCTCCTGCGATGTTTTGTTAGCTCGTGAAGAAATAAAACAAGAAAAAGAGAGGAAATTACGAGAAAACGGAAGAACAAGTCTGCTCGTGAAAGTCCAGTACAGTAAGGAGTTTCTCAGAACAAATTCAATGCCAGATACGAGGATTGCATTGAAAACGGAAGACAATCGATATTGTTTTCGATGAAGTTCGTCACGATTTCCGGCTTCACTACTCGACGTTGTAACGTAATACTTCAATTGCAACAAAGCGGAAAATAAACCCAGTACTTTTCGCCTTAATAAGAATCGAGTTTCTTGAAGTAGGTCTGAAAAGTTAATAACCCCTAAACTCTTTGGAATACCGAACGATAATAGTTCATAGGTTTCTGAAAAGAATGAAAATTAATGAATTTTCAAATATTATCTTTTAAGCAATTATCTTTTTCCAATGACTAGGATATTTTAAATTGATCGAATGATACTTTATGACATCCCATTTCGGGTATAGTATCTCAGAGGTCGAAGAATAAACTCTTAACGAAAGTTTTGAGGATCCATTCAGTCGCTTCGAAAGGGTTGGGCCACTTATGTCCGGTTCTTGAGCAATCTCGTTCCGCTCACTTTCGTACGTAAACTTTTCACTCCGACTGCCTCTTTCCAGTAATACGACTTCCTTTGCTACATTTCCTTTGTTGATACAATACAAATAACTGTTTCGACCTCCATCGAGAATCTTACTGAAAGTACATTTATCGACTCCTTGCTTTGTAATAAAGAAATTCATTCAAGCGAACAAGTAGTATCAATCAATGCATAGTCGGACCAACAGAATAATATGACTTGAGAAGAGAAGTAGTATAGGGTATACATGGGCAGACAAGTAGTGTGAAGTGAAACAAGTAGTACAGGTCAATAATGAACTATACAAGGAGAATAAGACTGCAAATAGTCAAATAAGCTTATTCTAGCCTAGAATAATATTTTGCAACTTGTAAAATTATACTATAATCACGTTCACAAACAGAATGTAACACTACAAATTCTATCAATCCGGAAACGAAAAATGCTGATCCGTGTAGAATATTCTTTTAGTATAAAAGGTCGCTGTTGAAGAAGCATATTCACAAGATGCTTCGAAACATCCTCCGAGTATTTCACGCAGAGCATACTTTTCACAATGGAAGGAATTCCAAAAGCAGAAACTTTCTATTCCCCTCGCGATTATTTCAACGAGGAATCCGCGAGTGCATAAATATTTATGCAGGCGTCGATGCACTTCTGCGCGGGTGAACAACGGGTAGGCGTTACGTGCATCGAACGCCGACAATTTAGAACAGAAATGGCGATGAAACAACTTCGATGCCCGTCCTGTACACCACATTATACATTTGAAACCGCAGGAAAGAAATAATAGTGTCACACGCGTGCGTACTTTCAGCGCCGAAAATATTGCTTCGAAAGGAATCGTTCGTTCACGTGTAACATGCAAAACGAAATTCGAAAGTACGAAGTCGTTCGGGTGGAAATACTACCACCGGAAATTCCAATAAAAATCCGTGCCAATATTTCGTGACAGTGTAAATTTTTCTCACCGAAGAAAATGTTTCTTTTGACTGGTTCATTAAAACCGAACTATTTAATCTGTTTTATGCGGTGGTTTATTCTTTAATATAAAAGAGTAAATTCTTCTGTTTATAAGGAATAAGTATAATGATTTTGAACATGAGGTCAAAGGAGTTCATTAATTAATAGAAATTAATTTTGGAAATATTTTCGAATTGGGAATTCTCGTTGATCATGAAGAAACCAAATGGAGCGGAATATACGTATTGACGACTACCTTTTAGCATCCCCTTGCAACATTCATCAAACGTGATTTATCGATGCATGGATCAGCTTAATGTCTGCTGACGTTTTTCATTAGCCTAGAATAAACGAAGTTTACTGGAATCCCTTCGAATACGTGTGATGAATGCAAATCTTTTAATCTTTGAAAAAACTGTGAACGAAACAGTATCGACGTTCGGCAAAAAACGACCTAGAAGTGTATAACAAAATATAATCAGAAAAGGAAATCGTTAGAATCGAGAATGTAAACTTCTTTGTGTCAACAAATATTTCAAATAACTATCGATTGTACCGTAATGCAATTTCGAGGCAATTTTTATAACTTTTTCTTTTCTCAAAGTCGAAGTTTTAAACATTTGAATTAGAGAAAATGGTACGTGTCTTTTATGTTAGATACAACATGGTGTACTTTATGACTTGGCATCGTTGTGTCTTTTTTACTGCCTGAACAAAGAAATAAAAAGGAGCTACATAAACCTTGCGCAGGTATACAACGCATAGAAAATTTACCCGGAAAAATGAATATTTAAAAATTTTAAGAAACCTCAGAAGCAGATGACCACCCCCAAGGAATGTATAATTAAAAC